TTTAATCACTAAGCTATCTTCCAAATTAGATTGTTTGTAACGTTTTCTGACTGTGCTCAACAATCAAAAAAACCTACAGACATAGGTAAGCTGATGTGCTCTTCAAACTGGCTTATACAGAAATTAAGTTTGAGCGGATAACTTTGACTTTTAAAAATTTATCTCTGCCGGAACCGATCTCTAATTATCTAAGAGTGATTTCCATTGTCAAATCTGGAATCAGCATCACCGATAGCTCATAAACCTCTGATTTATATACAACAAAGTGAGAGAACTTGCGTGCTCTCCTCGTCCGTTTATAGTTAACTATTCCGATCAAGTCTAGTAAAGTTCAAAGTTCAAAGTATTAATTAAGGAGAAAGTTTGTTTCTGATATAATCGTTAACTATTATAGAAACTTGGTACCAATTAAAGAAATGCTTCATGTTCAACTCACCATATTTGTTGTATTAATTTGGCAAAAATCATTTGAATAATAATATATACAATAAAAAATATCATTATTACAAACATAGTATTTCCAATTCGTCTCCATAATAGCCAGAGTGAAAACACAGCTTGAATCGGCCCGCATAATAAATAATAAATATTTGTAGAAAATTCTTCTATTTTTGATACATCATTCGTTATTAAATTGATCATTTTTCCACTTGAGACTGATGAAAATGATGATGTGTGCAAACGTAGTATCTACATATAATAGGAAAACAAACTATAACTTTATTTGATCTATTTCTATGAAATAAATATATACTTTTCTAAATATTAAACCCATGTGGCAAATTCGTATTTTCTGTGATAATAAAAGACTATGATAATAAAATGCATGTCTCAATGTCACTGAAAACCATGAAAGCAGACACAGGAGTAGTGCTGTTAACCATGCTTGTGAATGTGAAATTGTCGTACATTGCTTAAAATAATTTAATACATAAGCTAGAATAAGCGGCTGACCAATACGAATACATTCCTACAAAATGATAATAATCATTAACTCATAATCCTTTAGAATACGATATACATACGAATGATATGAGCAATAAGGCGATTAAAAGATATGATTTTTGAAATGTGCGAATAGTAGTAAAAAACAATGATGGTAATCGATTTTTTGCTCGAGATAGTTGTATTTCATCATTCCATGCGCTAAGGATTAAAATTAAATGTGTGTAATATTTAGTTTTAAAGAGCTAAATTGACTTAGTAATCGACAAGTCCGCTTCTTTCACCAAATAATTAAAAATAGTTTTTTCTTTATTTAAACATACTATCATAGTCATACTTTTCAAATAAATTAGTCAACGTTGAAGTTTCAAAATCGGACAAAAGATCATACAAATCACTTGATTCCAATGAACGTTTATGTCGAATCTTGAATATGTTAAATAACCAACTAAAACAGAAAAATTCATTTTTTCTATATCAGTAATTTATCGTCGATATCGCCTATCGAGTTATCTCATGCAATATGTTATACATCACAATGTTCCGATATTCCAGATGTTTTTTCTCAATATATTATCATACATCGACAATGTTGAGTAAAGAACGTTCGAAATTAGTGTCATTCTTTAATTTCCTATATTGAAGTTAACATCTTACCTATGATGGATTTTTGAAAACCATGAACTTTTCTCATATGGATGAGGATTACTTGTTTCACAATGCTCATTCATATCTTTCTATCTGAAGAGGAATCATATTCAGACAAAATCATTATTTTTATATGACTATTACGAAGTTGACTATTATGAGTATTACGAAAGTTTATTATTGCAAAAAAAACCACCATGAATCACTCTTCATGTTAGAAACAGATAATTATCATGTACACACTGAGAAAGCGAACTTGTCATTACGCTTAACATGTGCTAAGTAACGCCTTTACTGCAAACGCTACCAAAGTTAAAAAACATCAGTGCTGCTCTCATTTGTCTGTTTTCAAAAATTGAGTTCATAAATGTAATTTAAACGCTTTTTTAAGACCAAAAATAAGCAATTGCTTATCTAAATTATACTTAAGTATAATTTAGATGTCGCTTTTATACCTTTCTATTTACTATCACCGATTACTGTTCTATTTTGGTCCTAGACATTCTATAACAACATGAATGGTTATTATCGTAAAGAAGATCGTCAAAAACACATTGTTGCTCAATGGTTACTTGTACGTCCAAGTACGAGTTACACATGGGATCGCATATTAACTGGACAAGATAAATTTACAAAACAAACATGAAAAGCTTCTTTTTTTAATGTACTTAAGTTTATATCAGAAATTCCGGAAACAAATAAATGCTTTCTGAGTGTTCACCCTGCATTGATCAATCATCACTACGTATTTTCCTGCGTATTCTTCGGATACGCAAACAGAACTCGACAAAAAGGGAGAATTGTCTTGTGTTCGTTTTATAGAGATTCTTTGCACACGATGTTATTTGAATTCAACTGAAGGAACCATTGTGATGCTGTGCCTTGTAGAAATTGTGACATTCCTGAAATTGATGAGGCATACGTGAGGAAAGTGCCCTTAGAACATGCTGATAGCACCAGG